CGCGCGGGGTAGACACCAGAAAAAGAACAGACCATTAGACAACCGAACAAACAAAAAATTGACCAAGAACATACCATTAACAAACTCTATTGTAAAACATTAAAAACATTTAATTTTACATATTTTTTTGACTTTTTGGGTATTAATAAACATTTTAATTTATAAAAGAGAAAAAAAATTGGTAAAAGAAGAAAAAACCAAGAACAGACCATTAAACGACCGAACAGACCAATAACCGACCACTAGACCAAGAACAGACCATTAAGTGACCGAACATACCAAGAATAGACCGGAACTGACCGAACAGACCAAGAACAGACCAGAACTGACCGAACAGACCAAGAACAGACCATTAACAAACTCTATTGTAAAACATTAAAAATATTTATTTTTACATATTTTTTGACATTTTGGGTATTAATAAACATTGTAATTTATAAAAGAGAAAAAAAAATGGTAAAAGAAGAAAAAACCAAGAACAGACCAAGAACAGACCAAGAATAGACCATTAACAAACTATATTATAAAACATTAAAAACATACATTTTTACATATTTTTTGACATTTTGGGTATTAATAAACATTGTAATTTATAAAAGAAAAAAAAATTGGTAAAAGAAGAAAAAACCAAGAACAGACCAAGAACAGACCAAGATGGTTCTTATGCTGTTCTTGGATGTTCTTGGTTTGTTCTAGGTTTTTCCTTTTTTTAATAATTTTTTTCTCTTTTATAAATTACAATGTTTATTAATACCTAAAAAGTCAAAAAATATGTAAAAATAAATTTTTGAATGTTTTACAATGGAGTTTGTTAATGGTCTGTTCTTGGTTTTTTCCTTTTTTACTAATTTTTTCTCTTTTATAAATTACAATGTTTATTAATACCCAAAAAGTCAAAAAAAATGTAAAAATGTATGTTTTTAATGTTTTACAATAGAGTTTGTTAATGGTTTGTTCTTGGTCTGTTCTTGGTCTGTTCGGTCGATTCTGGTATGTTCTTGATCTGTTCGGTCGGTTCCGGTCTGTTCTTGGTCTGTTCGGTCGCTTAATGGTCTGTTCTTGGTCTAGTGGTCGGTTCTTGGTCTGTTTTTGGTCTGTTCGATTGTTTAATGGTCTGTTCTTGGTCTGGTGTCTACCCCGCGTGCGCCAGTGCCCCCCCTCTCGCGCGCGAGTGCCACCCCCCTCCCGCGCGCGCGCCATTGCCCCACCGCGGGTGCCCGTGCCCCCCCAATTTTACCCGATTCTACAATGAAAGACACATTTTGCCATCTTCGAGACTGGTTCGAAGTTTTCCAAAAAAAACAAAAAACATCATTGTGTAAAAATTTGGGCAGCATTTCCCCATAAATATAAGCTTCCCCAAAGCCATAATAACCTGTTGCATATAATAAGTGTAAATACATTGTAACGCCAAAATTTTTTTTTCATGAGTACATCGATGCGTTTTTACATTTCTTCTGATAGTGTCCATATTGCCCACACCTAACACATCGGTTCTGTCTTCGTGTGAACTCACCTATGCTGGGAATGCATTTTTACTTTGGCCTACCCCTCTTTGGTACAACTTGCGGTGGAAGAAGGTGAACTTCCTTTACGTGATTCGGAATATCCCATTGCGAAGTATCCGACACATGATAGATTGTCTCAGCATACGCAAGAGCCCAAACTTCTGTCCTGTAGTATTTTGAGCATAAATCATAGAAAGATATTCCTGCTTCTCTACAACATGATATTGCATGCTCGCATGGTATCTGCTCAAGGTCGAACACACGATAAGTGCAACTCCTCGCTCCAATGTTCACAATTGCAGTGGCATCTCCACCTGTCACTTGGAACTCAACAGTATTAAGTCTTGTGGCCGTTAGAAATCCCGCTTTGTTGTGCCTCTCACGAAAAGTTTTTTCCACACTTGGTGTTAATAATGTTTTAGTTTTAGAAGCTTTGACCCGTCTGTTATTAAACCACTCTGACATCTTCACTTGTATAAAATTAAAGAGGGCAATAACAAGGTAATCTCTAACATCTTTGAGCATTGCATTAACTGACCCAGACATGTTTGTGGTCATAATATTATATCGATTTCTTTTAAAATGAGCACGAGACCACATTTCAAAATGAACCTGCTTCTGTAGGTATCTGGCAATACTGGGATATCTTGCAGACAACTCATCAAACAAGACAGAAAACTCGTCAATGCGGTAGGCCTTAGCAGTTTTAAAGAACAATGGCAGAACACCGCTACATCTGAAATTACTCTTGATGCTTTGAGACACATGTCATGTGCAACAACCGTGATGTGCTAATGTATAAACTATAGACAATGCGTTACTTATACTTTGATTCCTATAAGAAATAAAAACTAATTCCTCAGAATCAGTGATAATTTCCTTCAAGTTTGAGAAGAATCATGTCCATGATGCATCATTCTCTGAGTCTACAATGGCCCATGCGATGGGATAACAATGACGTTCACTATCCTGTGCAGTGGCAACTAACAACGTACCTCTGAATTTTCCCTTCAACCACGTTCCATCAACACTGATAACTTTCCTCATGCAACTAAAACCTCGTATACATGGTCCATATGCTAGGAAAATATAGATAAAACGGTTATGTTCATCAAAATGAATATTGGTGATACTGTCGTGATTAGTAAGAGACACCATATGAAAGTATGATGGGAGCTTAGTGAAGCTTTCTTCGGCCGTACCTCTTACGAGTTGAAGTGCATGCTCACGAGCCTTCCATTCTTTGTAATAACTGAAGTCCGTCCCGAATTCGTCACGGGCGTATTTCCCTGTTTGACGCCTATAAATTGGTTTTTCATGCAACTTTCAATAACGGAGTACGTTGCTTGCCTGTGCTTTGCCGAATGCTTTTCTAACGAGCAAGAGTGAACACCATTATACTTGCGGATTACAAACATGTTCGATAGTCTCAGTTTGCAAGCTCAGATACGCCACACACATTTCGGATCCACACACTCTACTACAAGCACGTCTTTATTTGATTTTATTGTTCGAAACTCAAACTTTCCCTTCAAAGCTATTAAATGCAGCTTTTTCTTCAAATCATTCTTACTTGTAAAGTACTGACAAACTTCTAAACTAGATCCGTCACTGAAGGTAGATCCATGAGATGATCCAAACTCAGTCTGGTCGATACAAATTAAAGGACCAGCAACTTCTACTTCATTTAAAATGGCAAGTGGTTGTGGCTCTAGTTGTGACTGTGACTCTGGTTGTGGCTGTGACTGTGGTGGAATATCATTACGAGTTGAAAACTCATCTGAAGCTACAACACCCATAAAATCACGATAAAAAAAAATCGTCATGCAAAGGATTTCTACTAATTTTGACTCCATCAATATGTTCTTCTGGATTCATAAACTTCTCATCCACTATCACGTGTAGCGGTACCTCATGGACTATATCCTTGAAGAATAACAAATCATCAGTCTTTTATTACAACAGGCAACGATTTCTGTTTCAAATTCGGTACCCACAATAACTGCAAAGAATGTTTTTGTCCATCAATTCCACATTTTTTACATATCTTATCAATGAAGATTTCAAGAGTATCCTTCTCATCCATATATATGTCAATTAAATTACAGTTTGTATGCCACACCCAACAACTTTCATTCTCCTCCTATTTTCCTCCAATGTCAAAAAAGATCCTCCACTGAGGCATTATTTAGATTTTAAAACTGCAAAAATTTAATCAAGATAATAATATGTCATTAAACCAAACTAAATATCCCACGAACAAACTAAAACATACTATATAATGAGAATAGACCAAGAACATACCATATAATAAGAACAAACTAAGAACAGACTAAGAACCGACTGTGCAATAAGAACAGACTAAAAACTGACTGTGCAATAAGAACATACCAAGAATAGACCAAGAACAGACTAAGAACCGACCATATAATAAGAATAGACCATATAATAAGAACAAACTAAGAACAGACTAAGAACCGACTGTGCAATAAGAACTGACTAAAAACTGACCGTGCAATAAGAACAGACCAAGAACTAACCGTGTAATGAGAACAGACCAATAACTGACCACGAACCGACCATGTTATAAGAACATACCAAGAACCGATCATATTATAAGAACAGACCAAGAACCGACCATGTATAAGAACAGACCACGAACCGACCAAGAACAAACCTTTTTTTTTCTAAACCCAGCAGATCTTCATCATATCAGACAATGTAAACTGGTCTTTTACTATGTAAAATTACTATTTTAATGGATTTTTAACATGTTTAACTACATTCTCATCTTAAAAACATATGAACAACAACGAAAAACACCACGAGAGATATAGAAAAAGAAAGACTTACTTAGTAGCTCTTCTTCAAACTTTGTTTTGGACGAGAAAAAAACGCTGAATGGGCAAGATAATAATGATAATGAGGTTATGCGACGACGATGACTTGAGAAGAAGAGAGAAGAAATGGAAGGCGTCTGGGAGAAGAAAATGGCGCGAAATGGAAGAGGAGGAGCAGAAAGAAAACCCTAAAAGTATTATTAATGACGTGGAATGCTGATGTAGAAGTTGGCCTATTTACCCAATTTATTTTTTGTGTGATTTATTTACTTAAAAACACTTTTTACGTAGTCTATTTATACAAAGCGCCCTTTAATTACAGCGTTTTTTCTCCCACATACGTCATTACTTAAATTATGTAAATGAACACACTTTATTTAACGTTAAATGAAGGAAAAATTAATAGTTAGTTAATTTATTTTTTATAAGAGGGTTAATATACGTTATGGGTGTATAACGGAGGCCTATTATGTGCAAAAAGTCCGAGCTAACCCCATTCGTAATTGCAGAGTTTAAAATGTGATCATTACTTAAATTATGTAAATGAACACACTTTATTTAACGTTAAATGAAGGAAAAATTAGTAGTTAATTAATTTATTTTTTTATAAGAGGGTTAATATATGTTATGGGTGTCGAACGGAGGCCTATTATGTGCAAAAAATCCGAGCTAACCCCATTCGCAATTGCAGAGCTTGAAATGTGATTTGATCACAAGCGGCAGTGGCACAACGAGGTATAAGTCCCCTATTTGCCCGTCATTCATCCCTCCAGAAGAAAAACAAGCAACAAAAAGGAGAAGAGTAATATGTCTCTGAGGACATTCATCAAACATCTGGGCTGCAAACACTCCTGCTTACTCAAAACCCTCACTCGAACACTCTCTTATTCCCTCTCTTCCCCACCAAAACCACGACAATCAGCCACAGACAGCCCTGTCCATTTTCAACAAGACCCATATTCTCTCCTCAAAGAAGACCCAATTCAGATATGTTCTTCCATGTGGGTCAAATCCTTCTCTTCTCCTCCCACAACTTCCTTCCCGAACCTCACCGGCTTTCTCTCCAAATTCGACCTCTGGGTCTTGGCCTACCAGCGCTCCTGCGCCCACGTGACCGGCACGTTCCCTCCCCGCAACGCCATCCACTCTCAGCCCCTCCACGACCTCTTGTCCCTCCGAAACGCCGTTGTTTATGGCCGCTTCTTGTGGAACGACAAGACCCGCCAGATTCTCCGTAGCCCGAACGACAAACCCATTACGAAAATCATGTCGAAGAGGAAACTTCAGGCTTTAATTGATTCAGACGAGCCGTGTTTTCAAGACAGGGTTGTTCAGGAGGTTCTGTTGATGATTCTGGAGCCGGTTTTCGAGGCCCGGTTTTCGCAGAAATCGCACGCCTTCAGGCCTAATCGGAATGCCCATACGGTTATTCGAACGATTCGGAGTAACTTTGCCGGGTATCTCTGGTTCATGAGAGGCGATTTGAGCGAGATTTTTGATAATGTGGAGAGAAATGTGGTGATGGGTTGCTTGGAGAAGGCCGTAAAGGATAAGAAGATTTTGGGTTTGATCAAATCCGCGCTTAAAGCTCGGCCGCGGAGAGATTCCGGTGCGGAATTGGAGAAGAATAAGAAGAAGAAGAAGAGAGGGGCTACAAAGAAGAGGATTTTGAATGAGAATGAGCCGAAGCCCGACCCGTATTGGTTGAGAACGTTCTTCGATTTCGCGCCTGAAGAGGCTGCCAAGGTACCTTCTTATGGATTTTGTGGAATTCTTAGTCCTTTACTTGCAAATGTATGCCTTAATGAGTTGGATCACATGATGGAAGATAGGATTGTTGAGTTCTTTAAGCCTTCGAAGCTCGATTCGATTTGGAAAGACTCGATAACTGACGGGTGTCATAACTCGTCTTGGCCGGAGTTTGTTCCGTCCGGTGGGAAGGGGAAGACTAAAAAAATGGATTACATAAGATATGGGGGTCATTTCTTGGTTGGGATTAGAGGTTCTAGAGAGGATGCAGTGAATATTCGGAAGCAAATAATCGAGTTTTGTCAGTGGAAATTCGGATTAAGATTGGATAATTCGAAGTTAGAGATCGAACACATAACTAGAGGAATTCAATTCTTGGACCACATAATATGCCGCAGAGTGATTCACCCAACACTTCGTTACACCGCTAGCGGAGGTAACGTTGTGAGCCAAAAAGGCGTCGGGACTTTGCTTTCAGTCACTGCTAGCTTACAGCAATGTATCCGCCATTTTAGGCGGCTTCAGTTTGTTAAGGGTGACAGAGATCCTGAGCCTCTGCCCTGCAATCCGATGCTCTACTCAGGTCAAGCTCATACCAATGCTCAGATGAATAAGTTCCTTGAAACAATGGCTGATTGGTATAGATATGCCGATAATCGCAAGAAAGTTGTTGGCTTTTGCGCTTATGTGATTCGCAGCTCGTTGGCTAAGCTGTATGCTGCAAGGTACAGATTGAAATCTCGAGCCAAGGTGTATAGAATCGCGTCAAGGGATCTAAGTGGTCCTTTGAGGGAGAGCAGCAGCAATTCAGCGCCCGAGTACTCTGATCTTTTGAGGATGGGGCTTGTTGATGCAATCGAACGGGTTCAGTTTTCACACATGTCCTTGATTCCTTCTTGTGATTACACTCCGTTTCCGAGGAACTGGGTGCCGGATCATGAAAAGGCGTTGTGCGAGTACATTCGACTTGAGGATCCAAAGTTCTTTTGCAAATTGAATAGATCGGTTAAGAGGCAAGGTTTGAGTTTGCCTCAAGATGAGTTGTCCGAAACTGTGTGGTATTTAAAAACCCATGGGGTGAAGAACCATCATCGTCGTGCAGAAAACGATACGAGAAATGATGATTACTCCGAAGTGTCTGGTGCATCTTGATTTGGTTATTGAATTGGCAAGAGCCATTTGAATCTCGAAAGTAAAATTGCTTGGATAGTTGCTTAAAGGTCTGCCCCAATTGTCCGTATCAGGACATATTTCCGTCAACATCGACATTTCCATCTGATGAAACTGTTCATCAGAATCAGAAATGGAGTGAGAAATGTGAGATGGGACTAGAAGTAACGAAAAGTTTCCTAACTAAACTTTTTTGGTGATAAGCTTCAATACTGGAGAATCAAAAGGGTTTAGTTTAATTTTATCAATTGGGGGAACTCTTGAATGGCAAAAAGGTTGGCTATATGGAATTGGAAAATATGGCATAGCCTTTCCATTGAATAATAATGAGTATATATATAAAGTGTAGGCTATTGGTAATAATTCTAGGACTGAAATCTCTTGCTGCAGACTTGGGATTTTCTTAGTCTGTGCATCCATTGATTTAGAATAATTCTTTTTCTGTACTATATTCCAAATAGGTTGATTAAAGATTCAACGTTTCCCATAGTAAAAAGTTGCATATATTTGTTCAAGGATCTCTGTTGAAAGAGCAACCAGATTTAAGTTCATCGCATAGATGAGTTAAAGAAAAGAATGTATAGATAGTTTTATTTATATCTCTGTGATATTATCGTAAATTTGAATTCTTGATAGAGATAACAAGAAAGAGCATATTTTTGTTCAATGTCAATTTATATATTGATAAGATTTATATGCGTTTTAATTTCAGGTTCGAGCTTATATCTTGGATTTGATAGGCTAGAATCCAATCGTGAACGTTCATTGGGGAGGGAAATCCCTGCTTAAAATATAAGCCAGGAAATGGTGAAGCTTATATTTTCGGAATGTAAATCAAGTTACTAATTTCTGAATTTGAAAGGTACACAAACTCGCGAAAACCATACCATTTTGATACACCATTCTCTTCTACATTTTCTATGAAAACCTAAACCCAAAGAAGGTTCATCTCTTTCGTCAATCAATAATGCCACTTCATTCCTTGATCTCGAATGCCGA